TAGGTTTCGTACTCTGGTTCTGTACTCGGATAGCCATCGTAGCCCTACTGTACAAGCACTTCAACACTTCGATATACCGACAGTCAACTTGGCATCGCTGAAGGGACTGCAGCACCGCCCAAATTTTGACGGAATCAAAGGCTTTCTCATAGTCCACATACGCCAGACATAGTGGCAAATTGTACTCCTCGGACTTCTGTACAATTTGCCGAAGGGTATGTATGTGGTCTATGGTGCTAAAGCCTTTTCGGAAACCGGCTTGTTCGGGAGGCTGGAAGTCGTCAAGTCTGCGCGCGAGACGATTCGTAATGACTCTCGAAAACAGCACGTAGATGCGGCTCAGAAGGGAAATCGGTCTGTAGTTCTTCAAGAGAGCGTTGTCGCTTTTCTTGAAGAACAAGACCACCGCGCTTCTGCTCCACGCCTCCGTTGTAATGCCACCACGGAGGACGGAATTAAAGAGCTTCTGAAGGACTTCAAGTACCGGTTTTCCACCCGCTTTCAGAAGCTCCGCTGTAATTCCATCCTCGCCTGGGGCCTTGCCGTTTTTAAGGTGCTGGAGAGCCATTCTAATCTCGCTCAGACTGACATCCGGGATATCATCGGAATAATGTCGGATAAGACTCGCTCTTGGATCGTTACTCACACTTGCGTGCGGCTCCAACACTGACGTGTACAGCTGCCCATAGAACCTCTCAATCTCACTCAAAATCTCAGGTGCCCCGGAAACGATGCTGCCACATTCGGTCTTCAGCTTTGATAGTTGGCTCTTTCTGGCAGACAGATCTCTGGCAAAGACTTTCCCTTTATCGCCTTTTACGACACACACGGGAAGATATGGGGTAGTGGATATTCTTAACCGCCACTACACGGCAATTTGAGCTATATGATCTGTTGTTATTTCGCATATCCGTAGCTTCGCGCAGCACTCTCGATCTAAACTCCAGCTTTTGTCCTACATCAAAACTTTTTAAAATTGGACCTAAAGAAGCGAAAAAGCCAGGTCGTCAGCGGCAAGATTTGGGGTTTGGTTACTTAATAAAGTTAATAATTCTTTTTTAAATGGAGAACTTTCTGGATTTGTTTTCGGGGCCTTTTTTTCTCTTTTCCAGCCAAGGTTTTTGTGATGATGCTGAATCAACACCACTGTCATTCTGCTCACCCTGTTGAGTGTTTGAAAAATCTTGCTGCGTTGATATATCAGAATCTTGAGTATTTTCTGAAGATAACATACTATCCAATGTATTATCTATATTTACTGAGGGTGAGAGAAGGGAAGGGGTATTCAGTGATTCATCAACTTCATTCTCAACTGTTGGAGCTAGGAAGCTTAATTCGTCATAATAGATGTACTTTTTGTATTTTGGTGCAGCACTTCCATAAGGCGTTTTTTAATTGCGTTCTTTGTTCTAAAAAACGCATCCCGGGCTGTTTTCCACCTTTGTTGAACCAGTTTTCCTGAAATAATAAAATCTTTTTATTTTCAGATTTCTTGCTACGGGTCGAACATATACAGATTTGCAGTATTCATTTAGGATGGGAATCGCAACAATCATTAAAATCGTGGACGAAGTGTGTAAAGTAATATGGGAAACGCTACACGATGAATGCATACCAGCAAATACACCTGATATGTGGCAAAATATTACTAACGGTTTTCTACAAAAGACCAACATTCCAAATTGCATCGGAGCTATTGATGGCAAGCACATCCGAATCGTAAATCCAACCGGTGGTGGATCAATATTCTACAACTATAAAAATTTTTACTCCATAGTTCTGCTAGCTATGTGCGGTGCAGATTATTGTTTTACATATGTAAACATTGGAACATATGGGATAAACTTGGACTCGACTATATTCCAAAACAGTACACTATACAGGAGCCTTGAACAAAACACTTTAAATATTCCAGGACCGAAACCATTGTCTGGAACAAATACTCTAGTTGAGCATGTAATTGTGGGTGTTGGTGCTTTTGGAATATCAAATAGAATTCTGAAGCCATATGCACGATCCAATATGACCCACAAGAAAAAAATATTTAATTATAGACGGAGCCGCAGTATACGATTCATAGAATCGACATTTGGTATAATGTCAAACAAGTTCAGAGTATTTCATACACCTATTAATGTGAGTTTTGATGTTACAAAGAATATAGTTAAAGCATGCTGCCTACTGCATAACTTTATAAGAATTCGCGATGGTTATCGTATTGAAGACACACAATTGAGGGTATGGTAGACTTGCAAACTGTACCTAATCATAGTAAAGTATAGCTAAGAAAACAACATATTTATTATTATAATGTTTCATATTATAGGTAAGACAAAAAAAAACAAATTTTATATTATTAGTAATTAAACATAATATAATTATTCTTCAGTACGTTTCGCTGTTTGATAAACCGGAGTAACCTGGATTCGCATCATTGGTTTCGTACCCTGGGTAAGCTGGAGTCTGATAATTGTATGATGATGCATACGTTTCGAGTGTAGACCTTGCGTCATTGGAGTAAGAGCTATTTGAGCTATATCATCATCATTCATCATTACAGCCCTTCACAAATCCACTGCTGAACATAGGCCTCCCCCAAAGAATGCCACAAAGCACGGTCCTGAGCCACCTGCATCCATCGACTTCCTTCATATCTTACCAGGTCGTCACTCCATCTAGTGGGGGGAGGCCCTACACTTCGCCTGTCGGTACGAGGCTGCCACTCGAGAACCTTTCTTCTCCATCGGTTGTCGGTTCTTCGAGCTATATGGCCGGCCCATTGCCACTTCAGCTTACTAATCCGTTGGGCTATGTCGGTCACTCTGGTTCTACTGCAGATATCCTCATTTCTGAGTTTATCACGCAGAGAAACTCCGAGATAGCCCTCTCCATAGCTCGCTGAGCGACCTTGAGCTTCCTCATCCGGCAAGCAGTGAAGGACAACGCCTCAATTCCATAGGTCATCACTGGCAACACGCACTGGTTGTACAGTCTCGTTTTCAAGTTTTGAGGTATAGCTGACGAGAAGATGTGCCGTAATTTTCCGAACGCTGCCCAACCGAGTTCAATCCGTCGATTGACCTCTCGGTCGAAGTTGGACTTACCTAGTCGGACTATTTGTCCCAGGTAAACATACTCGTCAACAACTTGCTTAGTGCTCCCAACAACTAATGACATAGGTGTGACATGGACATTAAACATTATCTTTGTTTTGTCCATGTTCATCTTAAGACCTATCCGTTGGGAAACACTATTCAGGTCATTGAGCATAGTGCATAGGTCCTCCAGCGATTCTGCCATAAGGACTATATCGTCGGCAAATCGAAGGTGAGTGATGTACACGCCATTGATGTTGATACCGTATCCTTTCCAGTCCAGAAGCTTGAAAACATCTTCCAATGCAGCGGTAAAGAGTTTCGGGGATATGACGTCACCCTGTCTTACACCTCTCTTCAATTTGATAGGTTTCGTACTCTGGTTCTGTACTCGGATAGCCATCGTAGCCCTACTGTACAAGCACTTCAACACTTCGATATACCGACAGTCAACTTGGCATCGCTGAAGGGACTGCAGCACCGCCCAAATTTTGACGGAATCAAAGGCTTTCTCATAGTCCACATACGCCAGACATAGTGGCAAATTGTACTCCTCGGACTTCTGTACAATTTGCCGAAGGGTATGTATGTGGTCTATGGTGCTAAAGCCTTTTCGGAAACGGGCTTGTTCGGGAGGCTGGAAGTCGTCAAGTCTGCGCGCGAGACGATTCGTAATGACTCTCGAAAACAGCACGTAGATGCGGCTCAGAAGGGAAATCGGTCTGTAGTTCTTCAAGAGAGCGTTGTCGCTTTTCTTGAAGAACAAGACCACCGCGCTTCTGCTCCACGCCTCCGTTGTAATGCCACCACGGAGGACGGAATTAAAGAGCTTCTGAAGGACTTCAAGTACCGGTTTTCCACCCGCTTTCAGAAGCTCCGCTGTAATTCCATCCTCGCCTGGGGCCTTGCCGTTTTTAAGGTGCTGGAGAGCCATTCTAATCTCGCTCAGACTGACATCCGGGATATCATCGGAATAATGTCGGATAAGACTCGCTCTTGGATCGTTACTCACACTTGCGTGCGGCTCCAACGCTGACGTGTACAGCTGCCCATAGAACCTCTCAATCTCACTCAAAATCTCAGGTGCCCCGGAAACGATGCTGCCACATTCGGTCTTCAGCTTTGACAGTTGGCTCTTTCTGGCAGACAGATCTCTGGCAAAGACTTTCCCTTTATCGCCTTTTACGACACACACGGGAAGATATGGGGTAGTGGATATTCTTAACCGCCACTACACGGCAATTTGAGCTATATGATCTGTTGTCATTTCGCATATCCGTAGCTTCGCGCAGCACTCTCGATCTAAACTCCAGCTTTTGTCCTACATCAAAACTTTTTAAAATTGGACCTAAAGAAGCGAAAAAGCCAGGTCGTCAGCGGCAAGATTTGGGGTTTGGTTACTTAATAAAGTTAATAATTCTTTTTTAAATGGAGAACTTTCTGGATTTGTTTTCGGGGCCTTTTTTTCTCTTTTCCAGCCAAGGTTTTTGTGATGATGCTGAATCAACACCACTGTCATTCTGCTCACCCTGTTGAGTGTTTGAAAAATCTTGCTGCGTTGATATATCAGAATCTTGAGTATTTTCTGAAGATAACATACTATCCAATGTATTATCTATATTTACTGAGGGTGAGAGAAGGGAAGGGGTATTCAGTGATTCATCAACTTCATTCTCAACTATAAAAGCTTTTACAAAAATTTACTTCGCAAATATCCGAATAAATAAAATAATATAATAAATTTTTGTAAAAGCTTTTATATAATGGATTTCCGCAAAGTAACG